TTCAGGCAATTCTCCTGCCTCAGCCTCCTGAGTAGCTGGGATTACAGGCACGTGCCACCATGCCCAGCTAATTTTTTGTATTTTTAGTAGAGACGGGGTTTCACCATGCTGACCAGGATGGTCTCGATCTCTTGACCTCGTGATCCACCCACCTCGGCCTCCCAAAGTGCTGGGATTACAGGCTTAAGCCACCGCGCCCGGCCCGAAGCCTGTATCTTAATACCATGTGACAATGAAGTTTTCAGCTGTATCTTGTAAATATTCCACGGGGTCACAGAAGGAAGGAAACAGCAATTCTCTGTTTACTGTAAGAGCTGAGCTGAAGTCACTGGGTGTTAATACACTGGCTGGTGTAACCAAGACGTGTCACTGAAGGGGTTCACTTACTGACTGATTCCTTAGCTACATGGCAGAGAAGTGTCGCACGCTCCAGTCTGTCTAATGTTGAAGGTCTTCTCCACCTTTTCCTGCTTCTGCTTCCTCTCTTCTCTTTTCCTTCTCTTTCCTCTTGATACTTCCACCTCCTCCTCCTTTTGTTTTAATGAGAAAGGAGACAATGAATATTTATATGGCTAAGGGAAAAGAGTCAATAGAAAGGAAGTGCCTAAAATACTGGTCAGGGCCAGGTTTCATACCTATAATCCCAGCACTTTGGGAGGCTGAGGCGAGCTGATCCCCTGAGGTTAAGAGTTCGAGACCAGCCTGACCAACATGGTGAAACCCTGGCTCTACTAAAAACACAAAATTAGCTGGGTGTGTTGGCACATGCCTGTAATCCCTGCTACTCAGGAGGCTGAAGCAGGAGAATGGCTTGAACCTGGAAGGCGGAGTTTGCCGTGAGCCGAGATCGCACCATTGCACTCCAGCCTGGAAAAAAAGAGTGAAACTCCATCCGCCCCTCAAAAAAAAAAAAAAAAAAATTAGCTGAATGTGGTGGCACGTGCCTGTAGTTCCAGATACTTGGGAGGTTGAGGCAGGAGAATCTCTTGAATCTGGGAGGCAGAGGTTGCAGTGAGCTGAAATCACGCCACTGCACTCCAGCCTGGAAACAGAGCAAGACTCCATCTCAAAAAAAGAAACTAGAGTCAGGATCATGGAGGACTCACATACAAAGAACCATGTGTTAGCATCCAAAAATAACTGCAAAGCAACTTCAAATCTCATTGTAGTCTCTTGAGAAAAATGTCAAAGGGGGAATTACATAAATTATTTATGAGAAACTTTCTTAAAATCATATTGTTCACTCTCTTTCTCTTTCCCTTGTCTTGTTTGCAAAGGAGGGGACCTTTTTTTTTTTTTTTTTTTTTGATGGAGTCTCACTCTGTCACCTAGGCTGGAGTGCAATGGTGTGATTCTCCCGCCTCAGCCTCCTGAGTAGCTGGGATTACAGGTGCATGCCACTACACCTGGCTAATTTTTGTATTTTTAGTAGAGATGGGGTTTCATCATGTTGGTCAGGCTGGCCTTAAACTTCTGAACTTGTGATCTGTCCACTTTGGCCTCCCAAAATGCTGGGATTACATGCATGAGTCACTGTGCCTGGCCAACTGTTTTTACCTGTTAGGTTATGGAATTGTCGTGTAGCATCAGAGCAATAGGGGAAACACATTTCATCCATTTGGCCAAAGTCTTTCTCACTCTGCCCTAAAGCCTTTCTTTTCCCTCCCTCCAAACTTTCTCCAGCTCTTCCCTAATCCAGACCATCCTGGCCCTTCTCTCTGCCCTCTTTCATTAATTAATTAATTTTTATTTATTTATTTATTTTGAGACAGAGTTTCGCTCTTGTTACCCAGGCTGGAGTGCAATGACGCGATCTCAGCTCACCGCAACCTCCGCCTCCTGGGCTCAGGCAATTCTCCTGCCTCAATCTCCTGAGTAGCTGGGATTACAGGCACGCGCCACCACGCCCAGCTAATTTTTTGTATTTTTAGTAGAGATGGGGTTTCACCATGTTGACCAGGATGGTCTCGATCTCTTGACCTCGTGATCCACCCGCCTCGGCCTCCCAAAGTGCTGGGATTACAGGCGTGAGCCACCGCGCCCGGCCTTAATTTCTTTTTTTTTGAGATGAAGTCTCTCTCTATCGCCAGGCTGAAGTGCAGTGGTGCTATCCCAGCTCACTACAACCTCACAAGGAATTCTCCTGCCTCAGCCTCCTGAGTAGTTGGGATTACAGGCACCCACCACCATGCCCGGCTAATTTTGTATTTTTAGTAGTGATGGGATTTTACCATGTTGGCCTGGCTGGTCTCAAACTCCTGACCTCAGGTGATGCACCCGCCATGGCCTCCCGAAGTGCTGGGATTATAGGAGTGAGTCACTGCACCCGGCTTCTCTGCCCTCTTTTAAAACACATCTTCTCTCATCTGCTGGTAACTGCCCATGCCATCTAAAATAAGTCAAATTACCCAAGTCTCGGCCTTTCTCAATCCTACCTTTCACCTATTATTCCGATACCGTGCAATGATCTGGAAGCATCACAGGTCCTAACAGAATCCTCCTTAGCAGGTGGGAGGAGGAAAAGAGACTGTGGATACTCATGCGTTATGAATAATTATTTTCCTGTCAAAGATATAAAACAATGTGGTAGGCAAGGTGATGCAGATAGTCACAGGCAATTATAAGAAAACAGAGCAGGGAGAAGACAACCTGATCTTAAAAGATGCTACGCAGTCAACCAGGAAGGAAGAAGGCAAGAAGGGCATTTCAGGCTCAATAAACAGCATCAGCTAAGGCAAGCTTATCTGACCCGAGGCCCGGGGGCCACATGCAGCCCAGGACAGCTTTGAACACGGCCCAACACAACTTCGTAAACTTTCTTAAAACACTATGAGATTTATTTTGCAATTTTTTTTTTTTGGCCATCAGCTATCATTAGTGTATTTTATTTATTTATTTA